CCCTTCCCAAAATTACTTCAACGGAAGGTTTCCAGATGGATATGCGGAGCAAATCCATCTGGCGGAGTCAGGTTACTAGCTTCCTCCCACAATCCAAAAACATGGCTGTTAGTTTTATTAAATTCTCTAAATTCTACTGACAGTGTTTGCATGAATGGTTGATTGTCTCTGTGTTGCCCTGTGATAGACTGGCGACCTGTCCAGGGTTGGCCCCGCCTCTCGCCCATAGACAGTTGGAGGGATAAAGCATGATGGAAGAAAAAAATGGATGATTAAGAGAGTTAAATGTTCATAGAAGCAGAATGTAGCATCTTTAAACAAGATTGAATTTCTTTTTGTTCCTAAGCGGTGGTATTTGGGCTGCAGCAGGATAAACAGACCTGAGATCAGTATTATTTCGCTCAGAACATTTGGTTTAGTGACGTTGTGACTTCCTGCCGTTTCAGGTGCAGCAGTCTTTGATGCCATCGCACGGTCATACAGGAAGTAGTGGCTCCTTACGCCGTCAGCCCACGTACCCCCCGCCCGTTTCCTCCCACTCGTCTTACCGCCTTCAAGACGGCGCCCTCTTCAGTTCGACCCCGAACCTGTACACCTACCCGGCCTCGGCCGCCCTGGCCTCCGTGTCGCAGGCCGTGGATCAGATGCAGGGCGGCAGGCCAAGCGGAGGGTTCTCCTCTCTGGCTCTGCTGCAGAAGAACGCCAGCTTGGCCCTCGGAGGCTCAGCAGCCGGACAGTACAGCAACCAACAGCCCTTCCAACGATCCAGTGCTGCGTACCAGAGAAAACTCAACCAGTATCCCCCTTACCTGTGACAGCTGGCTTAGCGACACCGTCATCGGGAACCAAGCCCTTCCCAGAGCGTGCCGTTATTTTAAACCAGGCTCTAGGTCATTTAAATCTGCTGCATCACTGTGACGAGCAGCGCAGCCGTTTGGGGAGAGTCGACCTACATCCTAAATTAAAACTAGATGTAGGCTCTGTGCTGCTTTTCATTTAGTTTTAATTTGGACTGACTCTTATTTCTTTTACATTTATAGATCCACTGCCTTATAAGGGCAGCTTCCTTTATTTAAATATGTAACGTCTGCACATTGTGGTAAGTTGGATTAATACGTTGGAGTAATGGATGTGGTGTTTGTATTTTAACTTTATTCTCAAACATAAGAACATTAACGTGCCGTGCTCTGTACCGATTGTGTCATGTGACCGCATACAGACCACACACTTAAAGCTTCTGCCGGTTGAACGATGCTTTCAGGGAGTTCTTTATTTTACAGTTTCAAACATCAAGAAAGACTAAATATCTCTGCCATGTAGATTTCAGCAAAAGGTTGTAACCGGTTCCTCAAACAGCTTAGAAATACAAGAGGATTGTTTATTTTATGGGGAAAAAAATGAAAACGTTTTTTGTCTTGGTGGCGTCGGTGAAGTAAAACTTCCACCAAATGTCAAATTAGGTCCATGTAGGGAACAGATCTGCGTTAAATATGAGGTAAACCCGACTAATAATTAGTTAATCTAAAGTAATGTTCCTTGTGTCTGTTCATGTGATGCTGTCTGTACATCTTGCTGTGTTAGATGCAACATTAGAGGGAACACAAGGATGCCGAACCTGTATGTATGCAATAAAGTCTTTAAAAGAAGTGAATCCATCTGTGTCGCAGTGATTCTCTACTTAATAGTAACTATCTTTAGTGTTCGGGACAAATTTCCTGTCATCTTAACCAAAGGGTCCACCTACTAGATCTGAATTTAAACGCATTCTAAGCATTTGAGTGGTTCTACAAGCAGGTGAAGATTTAATATCTGAGTGGAATTGCCAGACTAAATAATACTAAGCCTGTCTGTGTTCACAATGTCAGCTTTGGCACCTCGTCTTCTTTAAAAAGGGGTAAATTATATATATAAGGGATGCACGATATTATCGGCCCCCTATCGGTATCGGCCTTAAAACCCACCGATATTTAACCCGATATTCGATCAGCTTCTGAGTTTCTAAAGTCTAAAAAAATAAAATACTACTTCTTCTTCCTCAAAAACTTCTTTTTTACAGACTTCATCAATCTCTTTTACTAATGAAATATTGCTATATGTCATCGTTATGCTACGAAATCCCCCGAAAATTCACAAAATGTTGCCATATTTTTATATGTTGATATATTGACGCGGTATCGATCTATTTTACTAACAAAATTTCTGAACTTTTTCAAGGTTGATTATGACCTGGATGAGTGGGAATCTTCACAGA